GATGTCCTTCCCAAGGTTTTACTAGCAACAAATGCAGTTTTAGCTTCCCCCCAGCTTCCCCTTTGTCTAGCGTGGCTTGTGTTGAAAGTCTAGTCTCCTCCCGAAGGAGCTCTCCCAATAACTTATCCATAAAGGGCAATTTTACCCGGTTTAATATACTGGCACGAAGAGGCTCAAATTCAGGTCTTAGCTTCATCAAAAATTGCATCACTTTTCTTTCATCATTCAGAGTCTGAAAACTCTATAAGCAATAGTCCTCACGGTCACCCATAATCCCCTGCTCATATTCAGTCCACAGACTCATGAAAGCAGCATAATAGTCTTGAATATTTTTATCACCCTGTGCAAACTTGAAAATGTCAAATTCAATCTAAAATTTCCTAGCCCAATTTGACTACTGATAGATCTTTTCAAGATGTTCCCACATTGCCTTAGCAGTGCGAAATCCTTGCATAGGGATTCCAATATTAACATCAACAAAAGCCAAAATCCAAGAAACAATTTTTGCATTATTCATCTTCCACTGTTGAAATTCTTTGATTTTTGATGCTTCAGGCATAGGCTCGGTTCCATCAATATAGCCCCACAAACCTTTGCCTTCTACAAAGAATTGAAAATGGAATTTCCACAAAGAAAAATTCTTTCCATCTAATTTGATAGCCAAAGTCTCAATTTTCTCGGTCATTATTGAATCCAATTCCGCAGCAACAAATCAAGATGCAAATCAACCAAGGAGAAAAGCAAATAAAAGGGTAATCGATATTACCGTCAGTACGAGATGAAAAACCCAATCAAGAAATCCAATCTCCAATCCACACTATGATCGTGACAAAACAGGAAAAGGAGGACTCTGGTTTGGCTTCAGTGTCGGAATCCTCTGCAATGGCTTCACCTCCGATACTGAGCCGGTGGTTATGGAGTCAAAACCCCTAGCGGCAGCGATGTCTCAGGAACTGGCGAAATCTCCTCTACAATGGCTTCACCTCTGATACTAGGCCAGTGGTTATGGAGTCAAAACCCCTGGCAGCGCAAAAGAAGAAGCTCTGGCGAAATCTGCTCTGATACCATGTAAAGTGAGGTGGAAGTGGAGGGTGCAAAACAAATTACAGAGCTGCTCACCCTTAGCAGCATATTTATATAAAGTTATATAAAATGTAAAGTTACATAAAAACCCTTAATATAAAACAAAATTACAAACTATGCATATTTCCTACAGTTAGCACGGTGATGGAATCCGACCCGCACCATCCAACAGATTTAGTTATGCAATTTGATACCGCACAACTCTCAATCACAACATAATACAAGAGCTTAAAATCCAAAAATGAAAACACAAAAAATAAATAAATAAATAAATAAATTCTAGCTTCTTACTTGTAAATGAATCAGATTACCAGCCAAAGAATATGTGGTGACAGCCACTACCCTAATCTCGTCAAAATCCAGCAACTAGACGATAGGTTGGGTTGGATCTTCACCTTGCGTTCATCCAGATCAGTCGATCAGTCGATCAGATGCAACTGCAATTTTGCAACCCACATCCTTCTGATGCGTCCACTCCCGGCATTGACTAGAATTCCAATTTTAATTGCTCGGAGAGAAGTACGGTAAAAGGAAGAAGATAACAGGCCCACATATTAAAAAAAAAAATTCTTTTCTTTCATTAAAACGCATAGTTAAAAGTAAAAGAATGGAAGAAAACTTAGCAAAGTGACTTCATAAAAACACCAATTTTTAGCCAAAATTTTCAACAAGTATTGAACATGAAATAATATTCATTCACATGAAAAGAAATAACCATCTCAGAATGAAAGGGCAATCGGCTGCAGCTTATGTTGCCAACTAATTAAACTCATGCACACATTATTTTTGTCAGATCTTCTTGGAGGAAGAAAGAAAGCCAACTGCCTGCAGCTTCTACTGTGGAAAAGAAAGCAAAATTGCAAAAAATTATTACGAGACTATTCTATCCATTGTTATGATTAGAAGGAACACAAATAAAAAGAGGCTGTAGAAACTCACCTAAGAGTGTTTGTTGGATTTTTGGGTTTTTCTCTTCTTATGCCTGCAGATGCTTGTTCCAAAAAATTTCTGTTGATATTTCTCCACCTTCTTCACCACCCACCATGGTTTTCCTGTTGTAAATATAATGTATCCTAGACTAAGTCCCAATACTAGTCCACAACCATGGCCCGCCAATGCAAACTTCCACTCAAAGAGTGCTGCAGAGTCATATTCTTCATGAAATTTTGATGGAGACGCTCCTGGTTCTTCCTTCTTGTGTCATTTCTTTGTCAATGGGAATCCACACAACCTAGAGTTCCCAATGTAGGAATCATTTGAGAAAGTGTTGAATTGCTTCCCTTCAGGTATGTGGCCTACAACACTACTGCAGGAATGGGATTTCCGAACCGAAAAATCGGTCCGGATATATAGAAAATCGGTTTGAATACATATATCCAGACCGATATTGGTCCTTATAGTTGATCCGGAAAAACCTGGTACGAATAAGTCTAATATACAGACCGACGCATAATCGGTTCGTATATATATAATGTTCGGACCGAAATCGGTCCGTATATTTCAGTAAGAAATATAAATAATTATTGAGAAATTGAAATAAGCGGACCGAAATTGTTCCCAAAAAAATAATATAATAAAATAATAAAATATATACGAACCGA